CCAGCAGGCAGCTGGGAATCCAGTGTAGCTGCAGGAGCAGGGGGAGATGAGTCCAGATAGTGCATGAGCTCAGGTTAGACTTGGTAGATGGCAGTGGGGAGCCGTGGAGGAGTAGGGGCACCATCAGGGTGGTGCTGCCATGCTCCTCTGGCATGGTGAGAGTGGAGGGTTCACAGGATGCAGGACCAGGAAGGAAGCTCTGGCCTGGCCCAAGGGTAGTGTGATAAAGGCCCCAGTGAGTGAGGATGGAGGGGTGAGAAGTGGGGTCCCAGAGAGCTGCAGGAGGCATTGCAAAGGCCCTCCACCAGCCTTGCCTGTGGGGTGAGGGCAAGGAGAAAACTGTAGCCTCATGAGCAGAACTAAGCAGCTGTCTAGGGCATGCACCCTGGTCTTCCGGAGCTGAGTTCTGATAACACAACCCCTTGGCCTCTGGCTTTCCTCAGCCCTGGCTCCCCAGGACCAAGGCTTTGGGGGAGCCCCCTCTGGAAAGGCCCTGCTCCCAGGAGTTCCCACCATGGCCCCCCGGGTTGAATAAAGGCATTGAGGATGACTTTATGGTGGTCAGAGCATGGACTCCAGCCCAGATGTCCTGGGAAGGGCCCTGTCTCATCACTTTGCTCGGTCTGTGATCTAGGCTTAGTTGTCTCTCTGTACCTGACTTGTCTTAGCCTGGATGATAATAATAGCAGTATCTACTTCATCGGTCTGTTGTGAGGACTCCATGAGTTACTATGAGTGCCACGGGATTAGGATGGTGTCCGGGATAGAGCAAACACTCAGTAAACATTGGCTATTAATTATACTAATTATTATTATTATTAATTTTATTATTTATTATTATTATTATTTTTGCTCTTGTTGCCCAGGCTGGAGTTCAGTGGTGCGATTTCAGCTCACTGTAACCTCTGCCCACTGGGTTCAAGTGAGTCTCTTGCCTCAGCCTCCCGAGTAGCTGGGATTACATTTCTGGCTAATTTTGTATTTGGTAGAGATGGGGTTTCACCATTTTGGCCAGATTGGTCTCAAACTCCTGACCTCAGGTGATCCTCCCACCTTGGCCTCCCAAAGTGCTGGGATTACAGGCATGAGCCACCGTACCCAGTGTATAATCATAATCATTTTGAAAGACAGGGTCTTGCTCTGTTGCCAAGGCTGGTGTGGAGTGGTGCGATCACTGCTCACTGTGGCCTCAATCTCCCAGACTCAAGTGATCCTCCTGCCTCAGTCTCCTGAGTAGCTGGGACTATAAGCAAGTGCCAACACTCCTGGCTAATTTTCAATTTTTTCATAGAGATGGGATCTCCCTATGTTGCCCAGGTTTGTCTTGAACTCATGGCCTCAAGCAATCCTCCTATCTCCGCCTCCCAAAGTACAGGTGTGAACCACTGTGCTGGGCCTTTGTTGGCTATTAATTATTATTAATAGTCCTCAGGCTGCCAGGATGGAGAGACAGAGAAAAGGTCTCCAGCTGGAGCTGGCCAGGTGGATCCTGTGGGGCTGGGAAAAGTGGGAGCTCAAGAGTGAGAATGAAGGCCAAGGGTCCATCTTCTCAGGCAGGTCCCGGGCAGAGTCGGCCATGATTATGGCTTGGGAGGGCATGCCACTTTAACCTTTCCTCCACTCTCCCCTTCTGTCTCACTTCCTCCCCACCCCAACCCCACTCCTGGGTCTGGAGCACAGTTGCTCTTGCTCCAAAGCTGGGGAGGCCTTGAGTTCAGCCTGGGGGTGGCCAGGTCTGGCTGGCTCTGTGGCTTCTGAGCTCTTATCCTGGATGCCTCATTCTTGCCCTGAGCCTTGGCTCCCTCATATTCGGGGATGGGGTTTAATCATCAACTCCCCAGGCCTTGGAAACTTCAGGGAAATTCCTGCCTGGTATTTTTAGTCCAACCTTTCTCCTCAACCCACATGGTTTCCTAGTAAGTTTCTCCCTCGGCTCCTGGGGATGAACAAAGGACATGTGGACTTGTGTGTTGAAGGTTCTTTATTCAGAAGCTGGGCTGCCTCAGGGGCCCGCCCCTCCAACCCCGTGTCCGACTGCTTTGCAACAGATCCAGCTGTCCAGGCCCTGGGAGGCTGGTGATGACCATGGTAGCCAGGGACCCAGCTGGAGCATGGAGGGGGATGGGAGGCTGCCAAGGCGGTAGGCTGAAGGCTGGGGCGTCCTCAGCAGGCTCGGGGCACCCAGGGCCATCTCAGAGGCAGCCAGTACACGCGACGTTCACACAGAGCTCACAGTCATCATTAGCGATGGTCCCTGGGCAGGGAGAGAACCGGTCAGCTGAGCTGAACCTGAGTCCGCTGTGGCCACGCAGCAGCAAAGGCCTGCTTGGGAGTGGGTGGCGTCTTCCACAGATTGGGAACAGGAACCTCTAGAGGCAGAGTGAGAGCCTGGGTTCGAGTCCCAGCTGCTCTTTTTCCTAGCAGACTGGGCAAGTGGCTCACACTCTGTGCCTGAGATTTCTCATCTGCTGAATGGACAGGGTCGCTGTGAGGAGATAATGCAGGCCACGGGACCGGTAGGTCCCAGCACACAGTAGGTGCTTAGTAAGTGCTAGCTAGTTACTACATTCTCTTGCCCAGCTCTGCACCATCCCTCGGGTTTCAGCTTGGCTGATACCCCCCTTGGAAGACTTTCAGACCCCTGTCCCACCGCAGATGCCAGCCAGCTCTCCTCTCTGCTCCATGCAGCCGTTGTCTATTGATGGGTCTGTGCCTGGCATGGACTAAGGGGATGCCTGACTCTCAGTGTCCAAACCGGGAGTCCTGGGAGCCAGTGGGGACCGGGCCTGAGTTTCTTGAATCTCCCCATCCTCAGCCGCTGGGTGCTTACAAGAAACAACCCACAGGAGGCTCCTGGGCTTGGAAGAAGACAGAACGAGGTTCTGCGGGGAGCAGGGCACTTACTCAAGGTCTTGAAGATGCTGGAAGCCTTCTGAGAGGTGCAGACAGGCTGGAGGTCCAAGGGCAGAGCTGGGTGGTGGCACACGGCAGGCAGCAGGCTCTGGGCTCGCAGGCGGGGGCTGGGTGCCCGCTGTGCCTCCAGGTCACTCAGCTTCTTAATGGATTCCAGCTGGACCTGGAAGCCTTGGTACTACAGAGAGGGGAGAGGAGATGCAAGCAGATCAAGACCCAGGCCAGGGGCAGGGACTGCCGTGACACCCAGGGTCGCCCGCACCCTGCAGATCCTCTGGAGCCTTCCCCGTTTCCGCAGGAAGTCCAGGGCCACGCTGGAAAGAGCCGCCAGGGGTGGGAGGTGTGGGAAAAGGCAGCAAGGCTGTGGAGCACGATGGTTTAAGGCATGGGCGTTACAGACAGGCAAGCCTTGGTTCAAATCCCACCTCTGCCCCTGACCGGCTGCCTCTCTTTTCCCCACTGAGCCTCAGCTCTCTCATCTGACATCCCCCATGGGGGCCTGGTACGAGGACACACTCGCCAACTAGGTAAGCCTGCCTGAGCTGGCATGGCAGAGTCATGGCAGCCCCAAGAGGCTGGTCTCCAAGGCCAGGACTGTTGGGGAGGCCGAGTCTCCTGCACTCCTCTCTGGGACCTACTTTGTTCTTTCGAAAGAGCCCGTATCTGGAGTCAGGGATGTGACACCCAGGGCCACAGACTTCTCTGCTATGCTGGGCAAGGCCAGCAGCATCTGCTGCGACAACTCCTGCCAGTCTCCCCTGCACCTTAGAAGGGCACCTGAACCCCCGCAGTCTTCTCTCAGGCCTTTGCACATGCTGTGCCCTCGGCCTGGAATGGTCCCCCATCCTCTCTGCCTGGCAACCTCCTGTTCATCTTGCAATGCAAGCTCAAGGGTTAGCTGCCAGGAAAATTGCTCTGGAGCCTGTCACCCTCCACCCACATGTGGGTGAACATGGAGAGCTGTGGGAGCAGAACAGGGCGTCTCCATCCCTTTCTGGGCTTCTCCTGTGCAGGGGCCACATCCTGTTCCACACTCTGACCTCTGTGACCAGGATGGGCCTTGGAGGGGAGCTGTGCTGAACCAGTTTTGGTATTGTCATTGCCATCATCACTGCCATCAACGTCTGGCTGCCCCTACCCCACAGCTGCCTTGGTCCCGGGGCTGTGATGGATGTAGGGTTGAGCCCCGGGTCCCACGCCCCTGCTGTGTCCCTTGAATTCCCAGTATACCGTCTCCAGCCTGGTCTCCCGCCATGGGGCCCTTCAGGCAGGGGGCACACTGGCCGAGGTACTCACCTGGATGTAGACTGAGTGTGTGCTCTGGAGCAGCAGGAGGACCATGGCCACCCCTGGCAGGAGCCCCGACACAGCCCTGCTGCCCATCACGCTCCCTATGCTCCCCCTGCCACTGTCCACTGGCTCCCACCTGTGTCCCTGCCTAGCAGCTCCTTATAGCCAGGCTCCGGTGTCCCGGTCACTCATTAACTGGCCAGCTGGGGTGGGGTTGACAGCTGGCTGGCTTTCTGACAAGCTGGGGCTGGTTCCCAGGAAGGGGGTTGGGGGTGAGGAGGGCAGGAGCCAAGAGCCTATGGGAACACAGTGTTTGAAGATCGAGCACCTGCTGTGTGCTGGGCTTTCCCTGGGGGCCTTGGACCACACCATTGTTCATGCCTCAAGACACCTGTGTTGGTGTAATGATAGGGAGGCCATTTTATAGACAGGAAAAGTGAGGCTCAGGAGGGAAAGTGGCTTGCCCCAGGTCATGAAGCTAGTTAAAGGCAGAGCAGGGGCTGCAGCCAGGTGTCCTTGCCCCAGGTCAGCCCATGGTCCTTTCTCTGAGGGAAGGATGCAACAGACAGGTTGGCCCAGGGCAAAGTGGGCAGACATGGCTGACCTCAGCGTTCTCAAGCCCCCATGCCCCCAAGACCCACATCTTTCCCATTCCCTCTCCTCAGTTCTGTTTAAGAACCATCCTTCCAACCAGTCCTTGCTCTGGGTTTTGAACCTGCCTCTGCCTGCCACTTCCGGCCCATGCCTGGGTGCTCCCAGGCCATATTTGACCCATCTCACGTGTCTGTGCCTTTCAGGTGCCGGCAGCCTAATCCAGCATGGGGAAAAAAGCAGTGATGCTGGAGGCAGATTGAGCCAAGTTCAAATCCTAGTTCTACCGCAGCTGTGTGGTTTAGGGTAAGTCACATCAATTCTGACGGAACCTTAGTTTTCTCCTCCATCCAATGGGCATGATACAACCCCTTGCATAAGGTTGCTGCGAGTGAGGGCCCTGGCCCTTATCTTCCGCGTAACACATCTATAGCGGCCCCTCAATCTTACAGTTGTCTTCTAGGCAATGCATAACCTACCACCCCAGGGGTTGAAGGTTGGGTCAGAGAGAAGAGGGCAAAGTCTCTAAGGGTGATATCACCACTGCCATACCAGGCAGCTATAAACAGTGCTGGTGCCAGGGCTCAGCTCTGCCAGGCACAGACTCTGGCATGTGGCAGGCTCCCCTAACGTGGAGCCGAAACGTTGGATTGAAGCCCTGATAGCTCACCTTGGCATTTAAGATGCCACTCCCTAAAGTGGCTAAAATCTGATGTCATCACGCTTCCACACACCAGCCCTGTTCTCACAGACCTAATACCATCTCATGCCTTTGCCTACTCATTCCGTGTGCCTGAAATGGCCATCTTCCATTTTCTTATCTCAAACTGAAATGAAGAAGGTCAAGTGAACTTCGGAATTTCTTATGTATTGCCTTGAATCAGACTTCAGCCTTTGCTCTTTAGAGTGGATAGAAATTAAGGGACTCTTACATGCTTTCTCATCTGTAAAACGAAAACAACCTTCTGCTAACAAGAGCTCTCATTTCTTGAGTACTGTGTCCTGGGCGCAAAACTGTTATGGCCATAATCCCACTGAATCCTAAAGGATAGACGTAATGGTAGTTTGCATTTTATAGAGGAGTAACCTGAGGCCCAATGAGCCACCATGTTTGTTGTTGCTGTGAGACCACAAGGGTGAGCAGATTTTCTACATAAGGAGAGCTGGGTTCAAACCCAGATGCCGGCACTTTCCAGCCATGTGCTCTTTGGTACATTACTTAGCTTCTCTGAGCCTCCATTTCTTCATCAGTAAAGCAGAGAATATTTAATAATAATTTTAAAAAAGACCTCATAGCGGTTGTTGTAAGGAAAAACGAAATAATCCCTGTTTCAGGAAAGCCTGTGACTGTCCCTGAAACTACCGCTTTCCAGCATGCGCTTGGCCTAAGGGGGGTTGCCCTGCCTCTCTGTATGGAACCCCCATGACAAGCCCCGTCTCTGAATCTACAGTGAGACCAGTTCTGCTTTCTGACTTGTCCAGGCTGGACTCAATGCTGTGCAATTCTGTCCAGACCTTGGTCTGACCAACCATATGGACTTGGACAAGCGACGAACTCTGTGATCTCAGTTTCTCCTTTGTGAAAATAATGTGGCCAGTCTCCAGTGTTTGAGGTTGTCATGAGGTTGCTTGATATCTAAATCCGTGGTCTTTCCATGAGAGGAAGCTCATCCCCCTTGGCCCCCATATCACTGAGACAAACCTGTAGGGTCTGGGGGTCCATTGGCCATGTCTCTTTCCTTTCCTCACCCTGTGACTCCTCCAGCCAGGGCCTATCATATGTCAGTCTTCCCTGGGAACCAGGTATGACTTCCTTATCTGCCTAACATGACTTAAGTTTATTTGTCAAACCCACCTGCTCCTAATCTCTTTCTGAATAACCCACCATCCATCACAACCAACTTGGCCACAGACGCAGATCCTGGCCAGCCCATGTGCATTGACGTGGTGTTATTAGGGCACTTCCTTCTTTGCGGATGTGGGAAGTGACTGTCACGGGGGCCTGGACTTCACCCTGTGTGGAAGCCTCAAACACAGATGCGGGGTGGGTGACAGTTTGCCCGTGTGCATTTGGGCAGCTCCCCTCTCTGCCCTGGCCTCTCTGCTCAGTGCTCACTGCTACGGTGCCCAGGGCCCAGGACTCTCCCTGCCCCAAACTGCTCATTTCCCCAGAGCATTCATCATAGCTGACCACTCCCTTTCTTGGAGTAAAGTACTTTCACCACTGGGCTCCTGGGACACTCTCTCCACATTTTCTGCCTCCATATTCTGTTTCCTTCCTTGGTTTTTCCTTCTTTTCTTGACCTACAGGGGTAAGAGGGCCCAGGGGGCACCAAGGCTGTCTTTGGACCTCTTTCTTCCGGTCTGTCATCACCCCCTTGGTGATCTGTCCCATCTCAAGGATTTTAATGCCACCCACACCCTGTCTACTCCCTAGCCTGCCCTTTCTCCTAAGTCCCAAACTCATTTACCTACCAGCCTCCTCAGCTCCTCTCATACCAGTTGATAGTACTACCATTCACCCAGTTGCTCAAGTCAAAAATCTGGGAGTCATCTTTGATGCCTCTTTTTCATTTGCCAAATTCAATTCACTAGCAAATCCAGTTGGCTTTACCTTCAAAATGTTTCTAGATTACAGTCATATCTCATCATCTCCACTGCTATTATCAAGGTTCAAGCTATCATCACTAGTTGAATAAATTATTGCAATAGCCTTGTATCAGGCAGGGTTCTTCAGATAAGCAGAGTACACACACCCACACACACAGAAACAGAACGAACACACACACCCACCCACACACACACAGAAACAGAACGAACACACACACCCACCCACACACACACAGAAACAGAACGAACACACACACACACACACACACACACACACACATCCTATATAGAGATATATATTTCCTATTAGAAAGTCTACAGATTATAAATGTTAATCACATTGAAAAAAATCCTACTTCAGAGAGCTTCTTGCATCACTCCTAATTCTTTTTTTTTTTTTTTTGAGACAGAGTTTCACTCTTGTTACCCAGGCTGGAGTGCAATGGTGTGATCTCGGCTCACCGCAACCTCCACCTCCTGGGTTCAGGCAATTCTCTTGCCTCAGCCTCCTGAGTAGTTGGGATTACAGGCATGCGCCACCATGCCCAGCTAATTTTTTGTATTTTTAGTAGAGACGGGGTTTCACCATGTTGACCAGGATGGTCTGGATCTCTTGACCTCGTGATCCACCTGCCTCTGCCTCCCAAAGTGCTGGGATACTCCTAATTATTTTAACTTGCTGCCTTGTAGTACGTGTCATATATATGCATCTATTTTTCTGCATCTTTCTCTCCACTAGAATGTAAGTTCTATCAGAGTAAAGAATTTGTCTGTTTTGTTCTCTTAAAACTGTGCTTGGCACATCTATCATACTGGATATATCTATCTATGTATCATCTACCTAGATTTATTTTAAAGAACTGGCTCACATGATTGTTGAACTGGTAAGGCTGAAATCTGTAGGGAAGTTTGGCGGCTGGAAATTCAGCTGAGATTTGATATTGCAGGCTTGACTCTGAAATCTGCTAGGGCAGGCTAGCAGGTGACGGACTTAGACAGGCTTCCTGTGCTGCAGATGTTGAGGCAAAAATGCCTTCTTCAGGAAACTGAAGAAGTCCTTTCCTTTTTTTTTTTTGAGATGGAGTCTTGCTCTGTCGCCCAGGCTGGAGTGCACTGGCACAATCTCAACTCACTGCAAACTTCAGCTCCTGAGTTCAAGCTATTCTCCTGCCTCAGCCTCCTGAGTAGCTGGTATTACAGGAGCCCGCCACCACACCCAGTTAATTTTTGTATTTTAGTAGAGATGGGGTTTCACCATGCTGGCCAGGCTGACCTCAGGGCATCCACCCTCCTCAGCCTTCCAAAGTCTTTATTCTTAAGGCATTCAAATGATTGGTTAGGAAGCCCACCTACCCTTATGAAGGGTCATCTGCTTAATAAAAGTCTACTGATTATGAATGTTTATCACATAAAAGTTATTTTCACAGCAACATCTAGACTGGTGTTTTATAACATCTGGGCATCATGGCCTGGCCAAGGTGACACATACAATTAACCATGCAGATCTCCCTGCACCTGCTCAGGCCTTTCTCCACAGAGCAGCCGGAGGAATCCTATTAAATTCTGAGTCAGATCATCGTGTCTCTCCCCTGCTCACACTACCAGTGGTTTTTCACTTTACTCAGAGGAAAATCCTAAGGCTTCTGCCTACAAGGACCCTTTGGCATCCCATCTTTATCTTTGACCTCAACTCCAAAAACTCTGCCCTTCACTCTCTGAGTTCCAGTCACGCTAGCTTCCTTGAGGTCTCCCAAACACACCAAGATTATTTACCTTTAGGATTTTGCTCTTCACCCCTCTCTTCATTCAGGTCTCTCCTCAAATGCCAATTCCTCAGAGATCTTTCTTGATCCTCCTTCCTCGAGGGTTTCCCCATCACTCCTAATTCTCTTACCTTCTTTCTCATAGCACCTGTCATATATATACATCTCATTTCTTGCATCTTTCTATTAGAGTAAGGAATTTGCCTGTTTCATTCTCCCAGAACAATACCTGGCACATAATTGGTGCTCAACAAATACTTGATGAATTGAATACATGGATATGATTCAAATATCGATCCCACCAAGCACTGGATGTTTAGCCTCGGGCAATTTCCTGTTTCTCTGAGCCTTAATCACCTCGCCTAGTATCTTGTTGGCATGTGGTGGGTGTTCAAAAATGTGTTATTATTGTTTTCATAGTTGTGGAATCACTTGTTTACTGAGAAAAAATGATTTTTGCGTTTTGTGTGCACAGGAGCCCCTAGGGCATTCAATCATTAATCAAAAATAATTTACTGATAGCCTATTATGCACTAGCACAAGATACAGCACTTAACAGAACAGACAAGACCGCTGCCACAGAGTAGTGTGGTGACTTGGATATGGAGGCAGGAATAGAGATGGTGAGAAGGGGTTGGATTCTAGAGATTCTCTGAAGTCAGAGGCCTCAGAATTTTGTGTGTTTGGATGGAAAGGGTGAAGGAAAAGAGTAGTCCAGGACAACTTAAAGGTTGCCCCAGGCCAACTGGTGCTGCCATTTACTGCGACGAGAAACGGGAATGCACATGTCAGGTCAGCGTATCAAGAGCTGGTCTCGACACATTCAGTTTGAGATGCCTTTCTGACATATGAATAAAGGAGTGGGCCACAGATAGAGATATTGAGGTCATCAAGTGTTGCTGGAGCTTAGAGACCTGAAACTGGATTGAGAGA